CGGCGACCTCGAAGTCCTCAGACCCCACCACACGGTCCGTCACCGCACAGTTTTGAGACCTCGGAGGCCCCAGCCGCCCGAGCCGTCCTCGGAGAACGACCCAAGTGCCAAGACCCTGCGGCCGCCCCGAATCCCCAACGACTCACGACACGGTGTGGTCTGGCACGGCTTCGGCCTGCGCGCAGACCCTGAGATCCGATGGCGCGAAAGAGCTGAGGCACCGCGAAAGCTCACGGCCGAACCCCCGGACCCCACCTCGCTGCGTGAGCCGCGAAGGCCCCAGGGCCCGAAGCTGGACCACAACGCCTGGCTGGAGAAAACGCTGTAAAACACATATGACTCAGGGGGGGAATTTTAGATACCATGCGGCCCTTCCGAATGCAGCTGCCGCTGGGGAAATGAGCAACCAACATAGATTTTTAGGTGTGTCTTCCAGGGTCTCACGGGACAGCCCCCCCCCCCAGGGAGTCCCAGCCAGAACCAACCGGCCCCACGAGTGCAGTCGGGCCGCTGAAAGAAGGAACGCTGAATCAGGAACGAAGCCCCTCTGCGGCTCCAAAAACGCCTGCGTGCACGAGAAGGGCTAGAGGAACAACCACGGAAAGGACGTCAGGAACATCGAGCACAACCACGGAAAGGACGCCAGGAACATCCCAGACCCCGGACGTAATGAATTTTTCATTACGTCGACCCCAGAGTTTTCGACCCCTTCCCCAGGACCGGTTTGTCATCCCGAGTCGTTTTTGTTACGCTCCCGAGGCCCGGTGGGGGCCCCCAGAGGCCGAAAATTGCGAAACGCCCCCCGTCATGATTTTTTCACCACTCGAGGGGGTCTGCGATCGAGCCCCTTCCGAAGCCAGGCTGCTCCTCCTCCCAGCGCCTGGGCTGCACGGCCACCGCGCTGCCGCCAGGAACGCAGGCAGCAGGCAGGCAGCGCAGGCTCCCCCGGCCACGGCGGCCCGAGCCCGGGGCCGTGGCTGCCGAGCCCATAGGCGCCGCCGAGGTGCCCCACGCCGCCCCCGCCTGCTTGGGGGGGGGGGGGCCTGCTGCGGCCCATGCGGGGCTGCCTGGAGGGGCGTGGCTGCCTGCGCGCAGCCCGGAGCCCCAGCGGTGCCCCTCCCCGCTCGGAGCTCTCGCCCCAGACATCCGGCTGCTCCAATTCTTGGGGGGCGTGGACCCCAGGAGGTCCGGACCACTTTCCCGGGACCAGTTTTTCGATCTGAGTCGGCCGATTTTCTGGAGCGTCGGATCGCAGGGGAGCATGGTGCAGCTCCGCGGCAGGTCCCGCGGCAGGAGGCCCAGACCCCGGCCTCCTGCCGCCCTCTTGTCGAGCCGGACGGATCCATGAGGGCGCTCACGGGCCCGACACGGGGCACGCTGCCCCGCTGTCCAAGAAGTTGCGCCGCCCAGGTCTCAGGATGGGGGGCCACGTGCGAACCCTACCCCTACCCCCCACGACTTCAGAGGGGGAGGGTGGGGCTCACTCCGTGGCCCCCTACCGGAGTACTCCCCGCACCGCTCGGGGTCGGTCCCTCTGCCTCGCCCTCCTCCCCACGCCTCCTGCGGGGGCCCCCGCCGCCGCAGACTGGCGCAGGCCTGCGCGCCGGGCGCCGCCTATCCCGTGCGGTCCGCGCGACCGCGGGGCGGCGGCTCCGCCAGGCAGGCCGGGCGCGCAGGGCGCGGCCGACCGCCTCCCCGGCCAGGGCGCCGCCGAGCAGCCGGCCATCGGCCATCGGGCAAGACCGCACCGACCCCGCCAGGGGTCCCTGGGGCCGGGCCTGCCCGCCCGATGCTCCGCCGCCAGCTGGCCGCAGACGTCCGTCAGGACGGCGGAGGGCCCGGCCCCGACCCTGCAGCGCTCGGCCTCACTGAAGGTCAAGAAGCGCACCGGGTCGCCGTCGGGCGATGCCTGCAGGAGCAGCGCTGGAAGCAGGTGCGCCGCGTAGGCCAGCCCCCCCACCAACGCCAGGAGGTCGCACTGAACTTCACGATTCAGGCCGCAGGCCACGGCGCTGCCGTCGCTCTCGAGCAGGGCCGCGTAGCCGCCTCCAGCCGCAACCTGCGCGAAGGTCAGGCCCCCCCACCAGCGCCGGGACGAAGCGCAGACCGAAAGGATTCCAGCCGCAGGCAGGCCACGGCGCCGCCGTCGCTCCGGAGCAGGACCGTGTGGGCGCTTCCAGCCACCCGCCGCCAGCGCCGGGACGTCGCACTGACCGAAAACTTTGTCGCCGCAGGCCACGGCGCTGCCGTCGCTCCTGGGCAGGGCCGCGTAGGCGTGAGTGTCTGAACGCAAGAGTTTTCGAATATAAACGGGCTTGAGTGTTGACAGTCTGGGGGTGAATCTTTGGGGTGTGAATGAGTCTCTGTAGTACGAGCGCGTCTCTGCGCACGAGCCTGGGGCCTCCCGGGGCATCCTGAAACCTCCTGGGGCTTCCTGGGACCTCCTGGAGCCTCTTGGGGCCTCCTGGGGCCTCTTGGGATTTTCTGTGGCCTCCTAAAGCGTCCTGGGGCCTCGTGTGGCCTCCTGGGGCCTCCTGGAGCCTCCTGGGGCTTCCTGGGGGGGATTCGTGCCCCAGGAAAGGCCCAATATATAGGAACAAGCAGATCTAAAACACTGCAGACTGGAACCGCAGGAGGAGGAGGGCACGTTATAGGAACACACGTCAAACATCAAGGACTCGTGCCCCAGAGGAGGCCCAATGTATAGGAACACATGTGAGACACTCAGGTTTGGATACACCGTAGAAGGACAGTCAGCACGACAACAACCGAGCGATAGAGCGCTAGCTGACCGAAGAGCGAGAGAGGCACAAAGTGTACAGATCACAGAGCACCACGGCGTTTGCATTGCAGGCTCCAGAGTTCGTTGCAAGGAGTGTGGAGGATCGGCGCCGAGGAGAGAGTTGAACAGATTCCTCGACACTCCTTGCGTGCGTGGCCTCATGAGAGGCGTAATGCTTTCACCAGCGGGAGTCCAAGTTTTTAATGGGAGAGAACTGCATGTTTCACACGCAATCGGGGTCCATCAGAGATTTGGCACTCTGATTTGTCTTCGCTGCGGGTTCTATGCTCAGAAAGGCGCACGGAACCTGTTGCATCCCTGCCAGGGCAGACCCACCGCGCACGGTAGGCGAGCTTTGAGCAGGCTTCAGAAAGGTGAAGTCCCAGCTGTCAGGTCGATAGAGACGGACAGGGTTACAGCACAGAATTAAAACAGTTTGAGCCAATGGCGGGAAACAGAAAAAAAAAAAAACCGTAGAAGGACAGTCTATAGGAACAGATGCACAACACCAAGGACTCGTGTTCCAGGTGAAGCCCGATCGATAGGAGCATATGTAAAACACATGGTATTGGAGTCACTCTGTGGCCTTCTGAGGCCTCCTGCTCCTGGGGCATCCTGGTGCCTCGTGGCGCTTACTGTGGCCTCCTGGCGCTTCCTGTGACCTCCTGGGGCCTCCTGTGGTCTCCTGTGACCTCCTGGAGCATCCTGGAGCCTCCTGAGGGCTCCTGGAGCTTCCTGGGGCCTCCTGGAGCCTCTTGGGGCATCCTGTGGCCGAGCCTTCCTGTGGCCTCCTGTGGCCTCCTGGTGTTTCCTGGAGCCTGCTGGAGCCTCCTGTGGCATCCTGGGGAGGAAATCGGACCACCAAAACAAGCCAACCAATCGCGACATCCTCAAAGTCTGACCCCCCCTTGGGGGCGAAAATCAGCGCCTCTCTCGAGACATCCTCAAAATCTGTTCCGAAAGCGGAGGATGCTGCGCCACAACACTGGCAAACCGCTCGATGCATCCCCGCCATTTTGGCGCGAACGGAGGAGTGAGATACCCCCTGGCGGCTCCCCCTTGGGGGTGCTGAAACCCGCGCCTCGCTCGAGACCTCCTCGGATTAGCTCCGCCATCATGAATCACCGTCACCATCAACATCACATCACCATCACCATCCATCACCATCACATCACATCATCATCATCACATCATCATCATCATCATCATCATCATCATCATCATCATCATCATCATCATCATCATCATCATCATCATCATCATCATCATCATCATCATCATCATCATCATCATCATCATCATCATCATCATCATCATCATCATCATCATCATCATCATCATCACAATCAACATCATCATCCTCATCGTCATCATCATCATCATCATTTTCATGATCATCAGCAGCAGCATCATCAGCATTATCAGCATCAGCATCATCAGCAGCAGCATCGTCACCATCATCATCATCATCATCATCATCATCATCATCATCATCATCATCATCATCATCATCATCATCATCATCGCCATCATCATCATCATCATCATCATCATCATCACCATCGCCGCCACCATCATCATCCCCATCACCATAATCACACCATATCATAACATATCATAACATAGCCTAACATAAGGTACCATTAAGAACCATGCCATGGCATAACATGGCATAACATACCGTACCATACCATACCATAACACATGACAACATACCGTGCCATAACATACCACACCAAACGAACCGATATCGCAACATGCCATATCATACCATGACATGCCATATTATTACATACCATATCATAACAGAGCATGCGTAGGAGGAGGAGGGAGGGGTGAAGGAGTCCTCGCGGTCGGAGTAATAGTCAGAGCCCCATCCTTTGAACATGGGGAATCACATCACATAACATGGCATGTCCTGACGTAGCATAACATGACGTAACATAGCATTGCATATCATAAGGGAGTTGGCGCGGTCGGAATAAAAACAATAACCCAAACCTTTTGATATGGGAAACAAGAACCCAATCAGTTGGATATGGGGAACAAGAACCCCATCCGTTGGAGATGAGTAATAACAATAACCCCATCATTTCGATATTGGGGATAACAAGAACCCCGTCCTTTGCATATGGGGAATGAGAACTTCCAATAGTTCAGCAAAAGTATCAGCAAATCTCTGGGCTGTTGGCGGGCATCCTTCGAAACGCGTGCTCCGCCCGTGTCCTCCGCAAGCAGCGACGCAAGCGCCGGCGGCGGCGCCGAGGGCGTGGCTGGCAAGGCTGAACGCCCCAGCTGGGGCGCGGCCCTGGAGGAGAAGCAGGACGAGGAGGAGGAGGAGAAGGAGGAGCAAGAGGCGGAGGAGGAGGAGTAGGAGGATGAGGAGGAGGGGGATAGGAGGACACAGGATGGAGGATGGAGGAGAAGAAGGAGGAAGAGGATGGAGGATGGGGGAGGAAACGGAGAAGGATGAGGACGAGGGAGGAGGGGCAGCAGTGGACCTTGGACGAGGTAGGAGAGGATGGACCAGTGCAAACCCAAGACGCATCAACGATAATGCAATAAACCATGCCTGCCTGCAAGTTCCTTCTTCATAGGTCCCTACAAGAACTGATGTTCGTTGCGGGAAGTGCACCATTGGAAAACAGCCGCTTCAGAATCCTCCATGATACCGAACACACAGCTCCGGTGATCTCAGCGCTGCGCATCAACGTGACTGCTGCGTCCTGACAATCCTGAGTCGTCGCAGAATACCACTTCAGCGAATGAACGTGACTGGTGCGTCCTGACAATCCTGAAAAGTGCGAGAACACCATTCCCAGGACTCCAACCAGACGAATCCTTGAAACTGTCGTAAACTTCAAAGCGAACGCGCGCGGCGCTAAGGCGAGAACCACGGTTTGAACAGGAACCGCCCACCATCCATGAAACTGTTGCAAACGTTTCAAACAGATGCGCGCGGCGCTGAGGCGAGAACCACATTTTGAGAACCTCCCGCCCTGTATCCGTGAAACTGGCGCAAACTTTGAAACGATTGGAACGAATGTGCGCGGCGCTGAGGTGATAGCCACAATTGAAAACGGCCCGCCCTCCATTTGTGAAACTGCTGCAGATTTCAAGCTTCAGGACCATAGAAAGCGAGGAAGTCTCAAGCTCGTCCCACCGACACGCCCGGGGGTGCGACAGGGGGAAATGATCTATCAGGAGACTCGGCGGCGAGCGAGGGGGGGAAATGAGAAGGAGAAGGCCTTCTCAGAAGGCGGCGGGGCTTCTACGAAGCCTTCGCACCTTCTGAAAAGTTGTCCGCGTCTCCGGGGAAGGCTCGGCAAACTTCTCCGAAGGCCGGGGGACTTCCGAGCCTTCTGAGAAGGCCCGCCCCTTCTCACTTCTCCCCCTCGCTCGCCGCCGAGAGAAAGGATGGATCGAGACGGGGGCGGCTAGAGACGGAGGAGGGAGGACGGGAGGACGGAGGACGGAGGAGGATGGAGAAGGAGGACAAGGGAGGAGGAGGAGGAGGAGGAGGAGGAGGAGGAGGAGGAGGAGGAGGAGGAGGAGGAGGAGGAGGAGGAGGAGGACAAGGGAGGTGGGGGAGGGCGGGGAGGCGGGCGTTCAAGCGACGGCCAGGCTGTGTGCTGTGCGCTTCTCTTCGAGATCATTCTTGGACGGAGCCGCAGCTTCGGCCGAAAGCAGAGGTGGCAACGCCAGCGGCAGCCAAGCACACTCGCCCTCAGAGGCGGGCGCAGGTCAGGCGCGCCGAGGCGGCGGGCTACACCAACAGGGGTGCTCCGACGGAGGCACCGGGGCGCGCCAGCAGCCCTGCCGGGGGGGAGGGCCTCCAACGCGCCGCTGGCGCGCTCTTCGCCACCGCGGCGGGGGCAACCCTTCACTTCGAGCGCTGGCGCATCTTGCGGCGCTTCTTCTGCAGGCGGCGGGTGCGCTTCTTCTTCCACTTCCACCGGAACATCGAGCGGGCCTTCTTGTACGGGTTGGACTTGTGCGCCATCGCCGCTCCGAGGGGGGGAGCTCGGAGCAGGGCGAATTGAGACAACGGCATAGCCAGTCCCTGGACCCGACCCCTCCGGGGCCCGAACGCACCAGTTCTCCGTGCCGCGTCCGGCCGTGGCGAAGAGGCTGATTCTCCGATTCACAGCTGTGCCAGACATGCACCCCGCGCGCTGCGAAAGAGCAGGGTGGAAACTTCCGCCTCGGAAGCACGGGGCGGATACCTCCACACAGGTGTCGCGGAAACAGCGACGGCAGAGCAGGGCGGAAAATGGCATCCGAGGAGCTCGAGACGTCGGGCGGAGATTGCCGCCCTCCTTGCGAGGTCGAACCGCCCAGAGCACGGCGGATCCGGAATCAGGGCAGAGCCCAGCCGTGGCGACGAGGAGGCCCCCCCGGAGGCCAGCTACCGTTCCCCGACTCCCGATCCGCCGCGAGTTGCGAGGAGGAGGAGGAGGAGGAGGAGGAGGAGGAGGAGGAGGAGGAGGCCGAGGAGGAGGAAGAGGAGGCGGCCGACGAGGAGGCCAACGAGGAGGAGGAGAAGGAGGAGTAGGAGGGGAGGATGGAGGGGGGTGCGGAGGACGAGGACGAGGACGAGGAGGAGGACAAAGACGAGGAGGAGGAGGACGAGGAGGACGAGGAGGAGGAGGAGGAGGAGGAGGAGGAGGAGGAGGAGGAGGAGGAGGCAGGCCCTCCTCTGACTTCGGCCGCCCCGAGACGCACCCCCTCCCGCGCCAGGCCAGCGCTCCGCCCGCGGTGCGGTCCCCGGGCCCCGAGCGAGCCCCACCGCTGCCTCAACCCGCCCTCCTCGGAAGGGGCCCAGGCCCCCGACCTCGTGATGTGTTTTGCAGCGTCGACCCCCAAAGGTCTGGACCCTTTCCGCGGGACCGGTCTCTCATCCCGAACCGCTTTTTGACGGTCCCGAGGCCCAGGAAGGGCCCCCGGAGGCCGAAAGTCGCGACACACCTCCCGTCGTGCTTCTTCACGACGCGGGGGGGTCTGGGGGCGCTGCTCTCCCACAGGGCCGGGGCTAGCGCCACGGCCGGGCGGCTCGAGCCGGAGAGGCTGCGGACGGGCGGTGCCGCGCGTCTCGCGGGGCGCGGCGGGCCATGCGATCGCTCCGCGCACGGGGAGGCCGTCCCCAGGCCTCCTGGGCGCTCGGCAGGGGGCGGCCGCCGCAGGAACCTGGTCCATCAGGCCCGCGCTGGCAGAGGAGGGGTAGGGCGAAGGAGGGGCGGGGCGGATGGAGCGAAGGAGGGGGCCCACGAGCGGGGGGCGGGACGAAGGAGGGGTGGAGCGCAGGAGGTGGAGGGACGGAAGGGGGGTCAGGGAGAAGGGATGCATGGAGGGAGGGCGGGAAGGAGGGGGCTCCGAGGCGGGAGCTTATACACGTCCACCGCCTGGAGGGTCAGTCTTCGGAGCTTCGGCAGGCGGTGGACATGGGCATATTCGGGCCCCCCGGGTGCCGAAATGTATCCATATCCACCGCCCGCTAGGGCACCAGGACGTCGGTTCCCAGGCGGCGGATATGGATAAATCCCCGCCTCGCAGGGGCGCAGGGGTGAAGGATGGATGGATGGATGGATGGATGGATGGATGGATGGATGGATGGATGGATGGATGGATGGATGGATGGATGGATGGATGGATGGATGGGGAGGAGGCAGGACTGGGAAGGACGGGGAAGCGTCTTCGGGGATGCTCTGACGAGCAGTCGGCGCTTCAGGACCTCAGTGGCTTGGGAGACGGGGGGGCCTCTCGGCGACTCCGAGGGGCGTGGCTTGCAAAGGGTGCGGCTTGCAACCGACACCCTGGGGACACCCTGGCGGGCGGGCGGGGACCTCGATGGAGTTCCCCGCCGCGCCCCGAGGAGGCCCGCCGAGGACGGTGTCGTGCCCCCCGGGCCCCAGCGGCGCCGGTCGCAAACCACGCCCTGGCGTAACCACACCCTTTTAAAGTCGCAGAGCCTCGCCCCCTGAGCCCGCAGGCATCTGGCCACTCGACGAGCGGGCCGCCGGCGCGGCGGCTGGGCCGGGCGGGCGGGCCATGGCTGTCCCTGGGCCGGGCCAAGGTCTGCGCCGCTGGGGAGAAGAGGGCTCCTCCGTGTGGGCCCCACCGAGGGAGCGCAGCGCATGCCGAAGAGGGATCTGGTCCACAACCCAGGCTGGTCCCAAGAGTATCCCAGCAAGCCATCGGAAGGTTTCCTCGTCTTCCTCCTCCTCCTCCTCCTCCTCCTCCTCCTCCTCCTCCTCCTCTCCTCCTCCTCCTCCTCCCTCCTCCATCCTCCATCCTCCATCCTCCATCCTTACCATGCTCCATCCTCCATCCTCCATCCTCCTCTCCCCTCCTCTCCCCTCCTCTCCTCCTCCTCCTCCTCCTCTCTCCTCCTCCTCCTCTCCTTATCCTCCTCCTCCTCCTCTCTCCTCCTCCTCCCGCCCCCCTCCTCCTCCTCCTCCTCCTCCCTCCTCCTCCTCCTCCTACTCCTCCTCCTCCTCCTCCTCCTCCCTCTCCCCTGCTCCTCATCCTCCCTTTTCCCCCCCCCCCCCCCCCCCCCCCCCCCCCCCCCTTTCCCCCTTGGGCGTTTTTTTTTTTTCCTCCTGCTCCTCCCTCCTCCTCCTCTCTCTCCTCCTCCTCCTCCTCTTCCTCTTCTCCTCGTCTCCTCCTTCCTACTCCTCCTCCTCCTCCGCCTCCTCCTCCTCCTCCTCCTCCTCCTCCTCCTCCTCGCGCCTTCTCTCCTCCTCTGTGCCGCATGACTTTTCGGGTCCGAGGAGGCCTCATGGGCGGACCGCGCTCCGCCACGGGCCCGCGCCCGCGCGCGCCCGCACGCGCCCGCGCCCGCGCCCGCGCCCGCGCCCGCCGCCGCGGGGCCGGGCGCCGCTCCCCCCTTCGCCCCCGGTCCGTCCGCCGCCGCCTCTGGAGCCGCCCCGCCGCCGCTTCCGGCCGCCACCACCGCCGCCCGCTCTCGCCGCTCCTCTTTGGCGCTCCTCCTCGGCGCTCCTCTTTGGCCTCCCCCTCCTCCACTTCCGCCGCTCCTCCTCGGCGCTCCTCCTCGGCGTTCCTCCTCCTCGGCCTCGCCTCTCCTCCTCGGCGCGCCTCCTCGGCGCCCCTTCCCCTCCTCGTGCTAGTGTTGTCCTCGTGCTGTCCTCGTGCTGTCCTCGCGCCTGTGCTGTCCTTGTGCTGTCCTAGTGCTGTCCTCGTGCGTCCTCCCGTAGCAGCGCTGTTCTCGCGCTGGTGCTGTCGTCGTGCGAGGCCGCCGGTTCCAGGCCCAGGGGTGTGAGCCACCAGACCCCTGCGTTAGGCGCGCTGGCTGGCCCGACGACCATCTCAGGCAGCGCTGATGAGCGTGCGCGCCACCTCCCGGACCACGCAAGTGGCGATGGACCGGTGGAGGGTGCTGAGAGTCTCCAGTCGCCCAGGGCCCTCAGGCACTTGCTGCGCGAGCCATTTCCGGGTGGACTCGCCCATGGCTCCCGACACTTCGAAGCCGAGGGGTTGGAAACCAGCGACTCCGTTGTATTTGCGGCGCTTGGCCTGTTCGGCCAGTCTCGCAGCGGTGCCTTGGGTGTGGGCCCCGCCGGCCTGCAGGCTCTGCTGCGAGGCGGGATGCACGATCGTTAAGTCCAGATAAGCCCACTGGCCGTCACTGTCGGTGCATCTGAGGTCCGCGCGGAGACCCGAATTGCCCGGCCCGGTGGGCGGGCGAATCCATGGCTCGACTGCGATGTCGCAAATGCCGGCTTCACGTAGGGCTCGCGCGATGGTGTCGCGCAGGTTGTTGTGCCTCTTAACCATGAAGCCGCCATAGGAGCAGCAAAGCGCGTGGCGTCCGTTAGTGTCGACGGTGCCGGCGCAGAGGGTTCCGTCCTCCTTTCTGAAGGGGCAGGGGCCGTCAGCTGCGCGTACGAGACCTCCGAGTCTGTGTCTCACGGCCATCCTGAAGTGGGCGTCAGCGAGGTGGTGGTCGGGCCGCGTGGGCGGCCCGAGCCACGCGCCTGCCCCCTTGCCTGTCGTGCTAAGAGCCCAGGCCCGTTGATGCGGTTCCGTCTGGGTGCGTCGCAGCCACTGCGTCCACTCTGCGTGCCGCCTGTGCCTGGTAAAGCGCCGCTGGGTGGTGTCGGGCGGCTCCGTGTCGGGCGCCTGCTGTGCTGCCTCTTCCTGAGTCAGCGCGTTGACAGTGCTCTGGAGGCGGTGGAGCGCCGGTCTCAAGCCCGGGCAGTAGTGGAGAAGGTCATCTCTGTCGCGGAGGCCCAGTCGCTGGAGCACTGGCTTCTCGCAGAGCGCCCACGAGGCCGCTTGGGCATCCAGGCGCGCTGCGCTCACGCTCTGGAATCCCAAGCCGCCCAAAGCGACAGGGTGCCAGTATTTCTCTTTCTGCTCCGCTGTGAGGTCGTGCGTTTGTACTAGCTCCTCCAGTGTGCTGAGCAGGTCGGCGTCGAGCTGTGTCGCCGTTTGGGCGGGAACCCCGGTGGTGCGCATGTACCAAGTCATGTCTCCTCTCTCCTTCTCTCCTCCTCCATCCTCCACCTCCTCCTCCTCCTCCTCCTCCTCCTCCTCCTCCTCCTCCTCCTCCTCCTCCTCCTCCTCCTCCTCTCTCCTCCTCTCTCCTCCTCTCTCCTCCTCTCTCCTCTTCTCCTCTTCTCCTCCTCCTCCTCCTCCTCCTTCCTCCTCCTCCTCCTCCTCCTCCTCCTCTCATCCTCCTCCTCCTCCTCGTCCTCCTCCTCCTCCTCCTCCTCCTCCTCCTCCTCGGCCTCTTCCTCCTCCTCCTCCTCCTCCTCCTCCTCCTCCTCCTCCTCCTCCTTCTCCTCCTCCTCCTCCTCCTCGCCCTCGCTCTCGTCGTCTTGTCCTCCTCCTCCTCCTCCTCCTCCTCCTCTCCTCCTCCTCCGCCTCCTCCTCCTCCTCCTCCTCCTCCTCCTGCTCCATCCTCCTCCTTCTCCTCCTCCTCCTCCTCCTTTGTGGGATGCGTGGGGATTAGCAGTTGTTAGGTCTCGGCAGGACCTAGGAGGTTCCGATGTAAAAACAAAAACGTCGTCTGAGGGGGCGTGCTACTCACCAGCCATCTTCGGGGGGAAGAGAGGAGAGTAGCATTCACCTTGAAAAATCGTGAAAGGCGGTGGGGATGGGAAGAGGAGGGGGAGAATAGGTGGGGATTGCGCTGGTTGTTTCTCTATCCGCCAACCGGTGTCGTACCGGGAAGGCAGGAGACCAGGGGAAGGCGGGGGAGGGAAAAGGAATGGGGGCAACCACCACGAGGAAGCACTCGGATCCAGAAATCTGGCCCGCGCTGGGTCGAGAGCTCGCGCCAATCCTGCGTGAAAAAAACCATACGCGGAGGGGTGCGCGCCACTCTCAGGACGCCTTCGGGGGGGAGGGGAGAGCGGTATTCATGTAAAGTAACTGTGAGGTGGGATCGGGCAGTGGGTGGCCAGCCCACGCTCCGCGCCGTTCCCAGGCGGAGTGGGCCCAGACACCCACCGCCGCGGAGGACGGGAGACGCGGGGACGGGGGAGGGTAGCGGAAGAGGGTGGGGATAAAGCGCCTGTCCTCCTCGTTGCATTTCGTTTCCTTCGAGGCGCCGCAGCCCTGCACGCCGAGGAGCGCGCTCACTGCGTCCGAATGCGCGCGGCGCTCGCGCCCGCGCCCGCGTCCTCCTCCTCCTCCTCCTCCTCCTCCTCCTCCTCCTCCTCCTCCTCCTCCTCCTCCCGCCCCCATCCTCCTCCACCCTCCCCCTCCTTCCCCCCCTTCCCTCGCGCCTCCCCGCCCCCTGCCGGGTCCCGCCCCAGCGCCCCCGCTCCTCCGCGGCGGCAGCTGCTATGCCGCGGGGAGGGGCGGCCGCCATGCGAGCCGCCCGCGGGGGGGGCGCCTGCTGCCGCCCCGGGCCGCGCCGGCGGGGCGGCTCGAGGCGGAGGCGGCGGGCGGAGGCGGGGAGCGGCTCGAGGCAGCGGCGGCTCGAGGCGGAGGTGGCGGGCGGGGGCGGCGTCTTGAGAGGCGGGGAGCAGGAGGATTTGGCTCCATCAGCCATGCACTTCACCGCTGGCCAGGCCAGGCCAGCGCCGCCACCACTGAGTCCGCGATGAAGAGCACGGCGAGGCTGAGGAGAGCGCTCTGCACCCAACCGTCGTCAACGCCGTAGTCAAGGGGAGAGAACCGCGAAAACGCATAACCAGCGAGCCACGCCGGGAGGAGAAGGAGGAGGAGGAGGAGGAGGAGGAGGAGGAGGAGGAGGTGGCGGGAAGGGGGGCCGCTGATGGGGGGAGGCGGTCCCAGGCGCTTCCAGGCGCTCCAAGGCGCTCCCAAGCACTCACAGGCGCCCTTAGGCTCTAGCCCAGGCGCCCCTAGGCGCTGGCCCAGGCGTTCCAAGGCGCTGGCCCAGGCGTCCCTAGGCGCTGGCCCAGGCGCTTTCAGCGAGGCGGGACGGCGGGGATGGTGCTTGGCAGTAGAGCGTCATATTGCGCATGAAACGATACCATTCGACCATGTTCTTCTTGAGTGCAGTCTGCACGCTTGCGTGTGTGCGCAGGCAGTGATGGCAGAACGTTGCACACAGAGAGTGGGGAGGGGCGGCGGGGGAAGTGCGGGAGGGAGGCGGGGGGGAAACGGCGAGGCGGGGACGGGGAACGAGGGCGGCGGGGGAGCGGGGCGGGGGCGGGGGTGGCAGGGGAGATGGAAGGGATGGGAGCGCAGACGGGGGAGGAGGGCGGGGGGAGGAGCGGGGCGGGAGGTGGGGAGGCGGGAGGGGGCACACGCGCTCTTCTCCGTCCTCGCCTCTGCCCCGCCCGCCCACCCGCTCGCCCGCCCTCCCCTCCTGACCCCGCGCCGCCCCGCGAGCTGCGCGGGGGGGAAGCTCTGAGGCAGGGCCGGGGAGCCGCCTCCACCGCCATCGACTCCATGTTCGAGGTATAGAGATCCAGCTGGTCCTCCCCGGCGGGCGGCTCCAACGAGCAGCACTCCTCCTCCTCCTCCTCCTCCTCCTCCTCCTCCTCTTCCTCCTCCTCCTCCTCCTCCTCCTCGTCCTCCTCCTCCTCCTCCTCCTCGTCCTCCTCGTCCTCCTCCTCCTCCTCCTCCTCCTCCTTCTCCTCCTCCTCCTCCTCCTCCTCTTCGTGCCCCTCCCTGTGATCCTTTTTCTTCCGTCTTCGCAGCTCAGAGCCAATCAGATTAGCCAGATCTCCAAAGTGGAGACTAAAGCACCCCACGCCTGGACTGTACAAGATCACCGTGCAGGAATCTGTGACCATTGGCACCGCGGCGAACAGAGAGACAGCAACATCGCGGCAAATTCTGGGCATTGCAGCCGTTATGGTAGTACTCTGCCCGATTTGGGGACCAGTGGGTCTCAACCCCGAACGCCTGGGTCGCAGGCCTTTTGCATGCCTGAGACTGAATTGCGCAAACTCCCAAACCAATCCTGGCACTTGATGGTTCTGACCGACGTTTCTCTTCAGGACTCGGACGGGTCAGACGGGTGAGCCACGGCATCGCCTGGTGCCCGCCTGGTGCTCGCCCGCAGGAGCCCGTGGGCGCCTCGTGCGCTGGATGGGTCAGACGAGGCGTCGCCGGGTGCCCGCCCGTGGGCGCCTCGTGGGCGCCTCGTGCGCTGGCCGAGGTTTCGCCTGGGCCCCGCCCGTGGGCGCCTCGTGCGCTGGGCGGTCGCATAGGTTGCACCACACAACTTGTGCCACATAGCTTGCACCACACAGTTTACACCGCGTAGTTTGCACCACGTAGCTTGCACGGCGAAGCTTCCACCACATGGCTTACAGCACATGTATTTGAAATAGCAGCCTACACCACGTAACTTGCGCCACGTAGCTTGCACCGCATAGCTTACACATTCGCGGCATACCTTACACAACATGGTTCGCACCACGTAGCTTGCACCACGTCGATTGCACCACACAGCGTGCACAACCTGAATTGCATCGCGTAGCTTGCACCACACAGCTTGCACCACATATACTGCATCACATAGCTTGCTTCACCTAGCTTGCACCACGTAGCCTACACATCCGTAGTGAAACAGCATACTTCCCGGGGCCCACGCCAGCAGACATTTGGGATCGGCATCGCAGCCTCGTCACTTTCGGCGTCTCCGCTCGAAACCGCCGTTCACATGCCTGGGGCCGTCACTGAAGACAAGGGTACCCAGAACGTGGGCATGGTCCTTATAGCATGGCACGGCACCGACCTCGGGCTCCCCGCCGCTGTCAGTGTCGGCCAAGAGCTGGCCCTTCTTCGCCAGCGCACAAGAGAACAGAAAGGCGAGGGCCCAGCCGAATGGCGTCGTATTTCCCCGTGCGAACTGGGCCGGTGCAGTGGGAGTGCCAACGACCTAGCCCAGAAAATGTGAGCCATAAACTACGCATGCAAGAACTGGAGCTTTGACGAGGACCGAACGGCGATCGTATATTTGTTTAGTGTATGCTCGCCTTGCGGACTTCGGCGGAGCCTGAGAACTTGAGATGACTCCAGGACGCTTCAAGACGGCACTGGCCTGACCTGGCCTGGAGCCCTCGAACGAGGCCACGCGGAGAGGCCGTCATCGTCGAACAGCGTGATGTTCTTCGGTGATGTTGGCCTTCAAGCCATTTGCGCTTCCGATGGGGCCGTGAAGTCTCAAGATCCCCCGATACAGGCTTCAGAGGCCTTCAGAAGGCCCCAAGACGACCCCAAGACGACCCCGAGAGGATCCGAAGAGGCCTCCAAGAGCCTCCAACAGGCTTTCAGAACGCCTGAAGACGGCAACAAGAAGCCTCTCAGATGGCCCGAGATGCCCTACAGAGGGCCCCAAAAGCCCAACCTGTATCCTGCAATTCCCCAAATCATCGATTCGGCGCGCTGCTCTGGTTTTCACCCTGTCGCGATTCCCGTGGACATGGCTCCAAGTTTGCCCAAGGGGGGCGAGAGGGAGGTGCAGGAGGGGAAGGCCAAGTGTGAGCACGATGCTATCGATCGGCTCCCTGCTCGGACAGCAACGATGCCCATTGCGCAAGCGGGCTTCGGTCACAGCTTGGACTGCAGACTTCTACCACGCAGATCGTGTCTTTTTCGCAGCTGTCGACGAGAGGCCATGGCCGGAGATACCATTCGCCGCACCGGGATCCTCTCGAGCCCTCCACACGCTTCGGGCATGAGGAGCTCAGGCTTTGTTGGCCCGTCGGCGTGAAAAACACTAGGCGACGGTCATTGCGAACAGTCGCTCCCTCCCTCCCTCCCTCCCTCCCCCTCTCTTCCACTCCTTTTCTCCTCCCTCCTCTCTCTCTGTCCCTCCCTCCTTCCTTCCCGACATCCTCCCTCCCTCCCTCCCTCCATCCCGTCCTCCTGACTCCAGCCCTCCCCCCCCAAACGGAAAACAACTGCATAAGCATGAAATTCCGGAACTCCGCGCGGACTTCTTCGATCGGCGTTGAACCCCCCCACCCTGGCGCGCGGAGCGCGACAGGGGCGGCGGTGGAAGCGCCGCCAGGGTTTCAGCGCAGATCCAAGAAATCCGCGCGGACCTTCGAAAGTATATGCGAATGCAATGTTTCATATTCGTGTCACTCCCTCCGCTTCCTCCTCCTCCTCCTCCTCTTCCTCCTCCTCCTCCTCCTCCTCCTCCTCCTCCTCCTCCTCCTATTCCTCCTCTCCTACTCATGTTCCTCCTGTTCCTCCTCCTCCTCCTTCTCCTCCTCTTCCTGGGGAAACAAGTTGTCCGCAAGGGCTTGAGGCTAAAGGGGGGTTCGGCTGTGATCCCTCTGGCTGCACTGCCCCGAGGCAGCCCTTGGCCCCACCAATGGGGTTAAGGCGCCCCTAAGCCCTCAGCCATGTCACTTCAAACTCCTGGCTCCCGCTCTCCCCTCCCTCCCCTCCCCTCTTCTCCCCTCCCTCCCTCCCTCCCTCCCTCCCTCCCTCCCTCTCCTCCCCTCAGCCATATCACTTCAAGCTCTCCCCTCCCTCCCATCCCCCCTTCTCCCTCTGTCCCTCCCGCCCCCCCTCTTCAGCAAGGCTGGCGCGCGACTCTCCTGCGTCAGCCAACCCCACTCCTTGCAGGAACCCAGCGCCTTCACGATCTGGTCCCACCTCCCCCGAGTGACCGCGGCGGGGAGGAGGAGGAAGGAGGAGGGGAGGAGGAGGCAACACTCCGTCATGAGAGGAAGAGGAGGGAGGATATGGAGGAGGAGGAGGAGGAGGAGGAGGAGGAGGAGGAGGAGGAGGAGGAGGGAGGAGGAGGGAGGAGGAGGACGAGGAAGGAGGAGAGGAGAGGATGAGGAGGAGGAGGAGGAGGAGGAGGAGGAGGAAGCATTTCGTAGGCCTTTCGGGCAGCCACGATGTGGCGGCCGACGCTCGCGCGCTCCCCGCGCGAGCTCAACGGCGGGCGCCCGACCCGCGTCTCGCGGCGCCCGCCCTCTCCTCGGCTTGCTGGCCCTCCGCGGGCGCGGGCTCGCGCCCAGGGGCTCCTCTCGCATCTGGCGGCTGCCGCCCGCCGCCTCCGGCGCGCGCAGCAGCAGCAGCGCGGATCTTAGGGGGATGCTCTGGCGGGGCTGCCTCCTCGGCGTTGTCCTTCGTGGCGGTGCGGAGGAAGGCCACCTTGTCGGCTAGCGTCCTTATGTTCGTTGGCCTCCTCTCGCTGCATGCCCGCCTCGGGCTACGCTCCCCTTCGGAGCCTTCCAGCAACCCTGGGAGTCGCGAGCAGCCTTGCTCCACCCCCACTCGGGGCCCGCGCTGGCGTGCCTCCCCGAACCCCTCCTGTGTCCGCTGTGGGCCCTCCTCCTCTCGCCCGCTGACGCTCCTGCTGCGGGCCCTCGCACCTCGCACCTCGCGCCTCCTCGGCCTCCTGCATCGCCTGGCCGCGGGGTGGCTCTTCTGGCTTGTTTCGCTCAGAAACACAACTTTTGCCCCCCGCGGCCAGCGTTCTCATGTAATGTGGCCTGCTCTCGCCGGCTGCTCGCCTCCTGTTTCGTTCCCTCACTGGGCCTCCTTTCAGCCGCGGGGGTCGCGATCCGCATCGCCCCCCCGCGCTCGGGGCCTGCTCTGGCGTGCCTTCCCGAGCCCCTCCTGTGGCAGCTGGGCGCCCACCTCGTCTCGCCCTCTGGCGCTCCTGTTGCGGGCCCTCGCGCCTCCCACATTCTCTGTCTCTTGCCTCGCCGGGCCGCGGGGTGGCTCTCCTGGTTTGTTTCGCCCAGAAACACCACTTGTGCCCCCCCCCCCCGCCGCCAATGTCCTCCTGACGCGTTGCCTCCTCTCGCTAGCTGCCTGCGTCCTGCTTCGCCCCCTCGCTGGGTCTCTTGGAAGCCCCGGGGGTTGCGAGCAGCCTCGCCCCACCCCCACTCGGGGCCCGCGCTGACGCGCCTCCCCGAGCCCCTCCCGAGGCAGCTGCGTGCCCTCACCTCGCGCCCTCTGGCGCTCCTGCTGCGTGCCCGCCTCGGGCTTCGCCCCTTCTCGGAGCCTTCCACCAGCCCTGCCCGCGAGGGCTCTCCTTGTGAGCCCCCCTGTCTTCCTCGCCTCCTCGCCGTCCTGGCGCGCCGAGCAGGCGCCCCTGACCCTGCGTGCGTCGCCCTCTGGTTGGCCGCGCTCGCAGCAAATCTCCCCTCCGCCGAAGGCGTCGTAATTTCCTCCTGGTCCAAGTGCCTGCTCGCGCTGGCGTCAGGAGTGCGCCGTAGCTGCCGTTGTGCCCCTTGCTGGTCCGCGACTGCAGGTGCCTCTGCAGGTCCTTCGCGCCAAGTCGCCCGAACCGAACTTCCAATTGCCCCCCCTCCTGCCCGCCCCGGCGCCGGGCCCCTGGCACCCCGACCCATCTCCCGCAGCGGCCGGGCGAGGCTGGCGAGGGGCACTCTCGTGGCCTGCCACCTGTCGCGCACCACGACCCCCAGCATGCGGAAGTATATCCTCGACCAAGCTCTCCTGACTGGCCCCTGATGTCGGGGCTCCCGGCCAAAGCCTCGAACCGCGTCTTCAGCTGCGTCTTTGCCGACGAGATGGCAAGGTCCTCGCCCTCCGGGGCAGGGGGCGCGGTGGGGCGCATGCCTGGCCGCCGCCTCCTCGGCGCCTGAGCGCATCTCCCCCGCGCATTCGCCCTCGCCCGCGGGGCCAGCCCGCGCGCCGTCGCGCCGCGCGTGCATGAGGCGACCGGCCATTGATGCAAGGCCCCTGCCCTCGGCGACAGCAAGCGCGCAGGTCCTGCGCTCTCAGGGCCACCACCTCCAGCGTGGTCTTGAAGCTCGACTTGCCGATGGCTGTCTTGTCTGCGAGCCTGGGCCCGCGCTCCTCAAGTCCAGCTCGCAGCGCTCGCGCGGTGGCGCGAAATTCCTTCTCCGCGGCGTTGGCGCTGCCCACTGTCCCGATGCTGATATCGCCCAACCTGATTCGGCGCCGTTCGCTACGACATGGCCACGCTAAACGCGCATTCCAAAAAGCCGGCCGCAAGGGGAAAAACTACGCGCAAAGATGTGCGAGAGCATAGGTGGTGTCAGCTGGATTTCGGCTTTGTTTCTCTTCGAATTGCCATGGGGGGGGGGGGGGGGGGGGGGGGGGGGGGGGGGGGGGGGGGCATTTTCGCCTGGGCCTCCTCACCTCGGCCTCGGCAGCGCCTGCGATCTCTCCATCAGCCTGCTCAAGATCGCGCGGGCCGCCGTCTCGGCGAGGTTGCTGGAAAGCCTGGGGCCTGCAAGCAGCGACCGTCTGCCCGCAGCGCGGCGCGGAGTAGGCTCCATTCCAGCGGGCCACTCTCGTCGCCGAGCGCTGCAGCAGCATCGTTGCGAGCAGCCTTGGCCTGAGGTCCATCCTCATCCCAGCCTCGATCACGAGATCGAGCATCCCGCTGCCGTAGAAATTCTCAACGGCCGGCAGCAGGATTCCATGCAACACCCCGGGCGCGCCGCAGCACTCGTCCGCGGCCGCTCTCCTCGTCGCCGCGCATGGGCAACTGTCGCCTGCAACTGCCGCGCACCCGCCCCTCTCCTGCTCCCCGGCGCATCTCCCGACCTCTGGGCGGCGCGCGAGCTCCCAGCTGCACGCCGTCCGGGGCAGGAGTGCCAGAGCCCCGTCGCCCTGGGCGGGCTTCGGGGCCAGCGCCGCCGCGTCGCAGTGGAGCTGCCGTGGCCAGGCGAGCTCTCGCTCGCACGCGTTGAACGGCTCGACGACCCTCCGGCGGCCTGGCGGCGGCGGCCTGCGGATGTCCGAGCGGCTCCGCACGTCGATGACATTGCCTCTGTCGGGCTCGCGGCGCGCCTGCCTCCTCAGCTTCGGCAGCAGCCCTGTGTCCCGCTCGTGTCGCAGCGCCTCGCGCCTCCAGACCTCTGCGAACGCCTTGGCCTCCTCGTCTACGATCGCAGTGGGGCAGTCTTTGATCCCGTCGTCGGTGACGAGCTCCTCCTCTCTCCTCGGCGGCGGCTTCGCGATGCGGTGCAACGCCCCCGCGTCCTCCTCCGCCGCTGCCAGCCAGCTGCAGCAGCACCTGTTCCCCCTCAGGCCCCTTCATATCGCATTCCCCTTCTCCTCATCCGCCTGCATCGCCATGCCCTCGAGGATGCTTGTGTCCACGCCGTCTAGGCTCGCCAGTCCCAGCTTCCAGATAGCACGGTGCAGCTTCGCTGTGTCCGACGCCTTCTCTCCTGGCTTCGGCATGCCAACGTGCGCGAGGTGCCTTCCCACTGCAACCAAGTGCACCTGTTGCACCCGTGAGCAGCTGAGCCTCGTCGGCCTAGTCAGTAGCAGCAACGTGTTCTCGGCTCGGCTCCACCAAACCGCTCGTAGGCTGGCGTAGCGCTCTCTCCTGGCACTTCTTCGTCAAGGCGAACTTCCTGGGCTCTCCTCTCCTGCAATGTTTCGCCCTGTCCTGTGGGGCGATGCGGCAGGCCATGCACTAGAAGGCTTCCAGCGCGCCCGTGACGTCCGCGAGCTGCGCTCCTCCCAGCCTGTCTGCCTCAACCGACGTGGCCTTGCAGGCCGCGCTGTTGGTGATGTGGTCGGGCCCGCTGCTGCTCGAGGGGTCGGGCTTGGCCACCTCCGCTGTCTCCCGCGCATGGGCCGCGGTGGTGGTGCCCACGTCTTTTTTTTTTGGAGAGAGGGAGGGAAGGCAGAGGGAAGGGCGCGAACCATCGATGAGCAACATACCACTCGTCACACTCGGTGCAGTCTGCGACTACCGGCGGAAAGCGCACAAGCCGAAATGAGACATACCTGGTGGTGCCCACGTCCTGTCTCGGCTCCGCCTGCGCCCGCGCTGGCTGCCCAGCTGGCGCGCCCAGCGAGCGCGGCGGCGGCGATCCGACCCTCGGCTCGAGGAGCACCGAAGGGGGAGCTCCTGGCCTGCAAGACGTGGCGCTATCCGCGACCCCGCGCGGCGACGACGCACCAGCTGACGGCTCGAGGAGCACCGCCGCTGTGGGCCGCGACCCCGGGCGAAGCCTGGCTGCGTGTTGGCGCCCCTGCAGGTCGTTCAGGGAGACGTTTTGCCAATCGTCCTCGATCGGAGGAGGAGGAAGCAGGAGGGACCAGAGGGATGCGCTTGCCATGCCGCGAGCGCGTACCTGTCGCTCATACACACGCACTTTTTCCTCCAGCGGCCGGGTGGATGTCACCGCAGCGTGTACTAAGGGAGGGCGCGCTTCGTCCAATTACAGCCTGGCCTTGCAAATGGGGGTTCAGGACGGAGGCTGACGCATGCAAGAGAAAAGGCCGCAGAAGCGGACACGTGTGGAACATGCAACAGAAGACCATGCAGGTGCCGATGTGAGCGGAAGCATACACACAGATGCAGGAAGAGGAATGACGCATGCAAGAGACAGGTCGCAGAAGCGGACACGCGTGGAAAATGCCATAGAAGGCCATGCAGGTGCCGATGTGAGCGGGACCACACACACAGATGCAAACTAAGGAAACGAGCTCGGACCTCGCCAACCGCAGCGCAACCAAGGCCTTGAAGCGGACGGCCGGAGCAGGCAACGCAGGGGCTACCAAGAGGAGGCGACCAGGGGCCCAGCCGTAAGGGCGACGAGCGCGAGTGCGGGGGCGCACGGCGTGGCAGGAGCAAACAGGCACGGGCGAGAAACGATTCCACGTAGCCTGCTTGCAAGGTGACGTGGCACCAGTGCGCCCGCCACCCTTGATGGGCGGACTCGCTCAGAGGGGGGAGGGGAACATCGAGCTAGTATCGGCGATACATCGCCGACTCCAGCTCGATGCGCCACACTTGCCCCCCGATGCGCCAAACAGTCCAATCGACGGGCAATGCAGGGGAACGCGTTTGCAAATAATGGACCTCCGTGTGAAAGAAGGAATGGGCGAGCGGTGCCCCCCGATGGGTGCAGTGGCGAGCCCCGCGGTCGACGCACACGCACACTCCTTTGCTGGTCAGCAGCGGAGGCGAGCGCCAACGCGGTCGAAAGCTGGCGGCCCGCGCGCGGCCAGCAGGGCACACTGCACAAGAGGAGAAGACGGGGACGGCCGCGGAGGGGGGGCGGTGGACGCGGGGGGAGGCCCCCACCCCACTCGCAGAAAGTCCGCACCACGAGGGGTGCGCGGACGGCCTCGGGCACCGAAGAGCGGTGCGCCGAAAGGCGTGCAGTCGGTTCTGGCTGCCGAAGGCGAGGGCAGCGCGAAGAATCGGAACACACGCACACGCACACACACTCACACACACACACGCACACACACACACACACACACACACGCGCACACACACACACACACACACGCACACACACACACACACACACACGGGTGGGCGCGCTGTCCTCCTCCGCAGCGTTGCAGGGACCACTGGTGAGCACAGGCGGTGGGCGACGCGCCGGCGCGAACTGCAGACTTGCTCAAGACGCGCGCGCCCGAGCAGAGATGCAGCTCTCCCCAGACCCCCGACGTCGCGTTTCTTTTCACAACCTCGACCCCCAGAGGTCTGGACCCCTTCCCCAGCACCGGTTTTCCATCCTGCACCGTGCTTTCACGGTCCCCGGGCCCAGCGGATGTCCTCGGGGCCGAAAAAATACTGAAAAACCTCCCGTCGCGATCTTTTCACAGCGCGAGGAGGTCTGGGTCCCCGGCGGGCCGATGCGAGCAGGCGGAGAAAATGCCGGCGATGAGCTTCTGCTCTCGGAGTGCCGCGGCGGGCGTGGGCCCCGTAGTGACCCGCCATATGCCCTGTGGGCTGATGGCGTGTCGCCCCGCTCCGCGGGGCGGGAGGCTTCGAAGGGCTCGGGACGTTGATCGGAAGCCGGGCGAGGGCTGCGAAATCCGTGGCTGCTAAAATCGACCTCCGGGAAGTTGTCTTCGTCTTCGTCCTTCCGGGAAGAAGCCCGTTGACTGCTTCGCGTGCCGCGCCTCATTGCGGGAAGTTGTTCTTTCCTTCCGGGAGGGCCGTTTTAGCAGCCACGGTTCTAGCGGCCCTCGCCAAGCTTCCGAGTTGAGGCCTGGGGACCAGGGCGTGGTTAGAGTGTCGCGCCAAGTCGGGGCTCTTCGGGCCCGGGTCAACCCAGACCCGGGTCAGTCAGGACCTGCAGGGTCCTGCAAGATCCTGCACCCAAGCCCGGGTCAACGCGAAGGATCCTGCAGGATCCTGCACCCAAACCCGGGTCAATGCGACCCTGGCCCTGCAGGATCCTGCAAGATCGGACGCTCTGGCTGACCCCCGTTTGCATCGACCTCCGTCTCAAGGCTCCCGACAAAGGCGTGGTGGGCCCAAACCGACGCCGCGACACCCTGAGCAGACGCTGCCGACCGTAAGGAGCGACGTGCACCAGACCTGGCAAGTGTCTCAGCATTCACACCACTCCTCCTCTTGCTCCTGCTGCTGTTTGCATCGGGCTGCGTGCACGACAGGCTTGATCGGAAGCATACTGCCATCTTCTTTCCCCAACGGGGCCAGCTGTTAGATAGACTTTCACCGCGAACGCCTGCACCTGTGTCGGTGTTGTGTGCGACTTCGCCGTCGCCTCCCTGCGTCTCAGTCCCCCACGCCTACACTTCCACCCCCTTTCCGAGCTCCTCCGCTCTACAGTTGGACCTAGGACGGTAGAACATCCTTCAAGAACATGAGACACTCCGCCGGCGCAAACACACAGAAAATCCAAGGGTACCCCTCACAGGACGCACAAGACCATCCAACAGACGCGAAGAACATGACGGTACCCTCCCCGAACCGACCTAGATCTTTTACCTCGGTGCGACTGTAGCCCACATTCCTGTGCCCCTCCTCCTCGTTTGATGCCATCCTCCGCCCTACCACGAAGTCGGGGGCGGCCAAGGGGGGGGCGTCCAAGAGGGGGGGGGCGCAAATCATGGCCGGCGGCATGTGCGCGACCCAGGAGGGGGGGGGGCAAGGACACGCTGAAGTAAGAAGAGGCGCTGTGAAATCGGGGGAGATATTATGGCCCCCGCCATGATACCCCCCCCCCTAGTCATCACCCTCCTCTTCCTCCTCCTCCTCCTCCGCCTCCTCCTCCTCCTCCCCGTCCTCCTCCCCCCAGTCATCAACCCCCTCCTGGCCGCCCCCGAGAGAGCCTTCGGCGGCCTGCCTTCCGCCCGGCCCCCCGCCTGCTCAGCCTGGTGACCACGGGTGATGCGCGCTCGGCTACCCCGGCGCGGTCGATCGGCGAGGGGGAACATCCACGGAGTGGTCCGCCAGCGATCGGCCCTCCGCTGTCAACAATCGGATACCCTGACACAGGCCCACCCAAATGCTCCTCCTCAACCTCGACGTCCTCCTCCTCCTCCTCCTCCTCCTCCTCCTCCTCCTCCTCCTCTCCTCCTCCTCCTCCTCTCCTCCTCCTCCTCCTCCTCCTCCTCCTCCTGCTCCTCCTCCTCCTCTCATCCGCTCCTCCTCCTCCTCCTCCTCCTCCTCCTCCTCCTCCTCCTCCTCCTCCTCCTCCTCCTCCTCCTCCTCCTCCTCCTCCTCCTCCTCCTCCTCCTCCTCCTCCTCCTCCCGGCCCCGCTTCAGCTTGACGCCGAAATTGGCCTCGGTCTTGAGCATGCAGAACACCTGGCAAGGACAGCCGCCGTGGAGAGGAGCGACGGTGCACACAGCACAAGCAGATGCTGAGGCAGGAGGAGGCGGCAGAGGAGGGTCAAACGTAACAGACACAGGCGGAGATGTCATCTGAATTACTTGCTCTGCTGGTCTTCTGCACATCGACGACGCAATGGCTCGAACCTTGGCACCGCGCGAACGGGCATCGAGGGCTACGACAACACTTCAGATACCCCCGACAAGAACAATGCAATTAAAGGAGGACCCTGACCTCTGGCAAATGCGAGGCGTTGGGTTCAGGACTTGCCGCATGACGTCATACCATCCTGCCTTGAAAAATAGCATCACCAGAGCATGCCCCATGTTCTGCTGACCAGGGGGGGGGCATGTGCAAGGTTGACGGGGGGGCAGCCCCTTCTTGCCTGCCTCACGCAGAGTACACGTGAGCAGAACCCTTGCCTACTCAGGTTGGCTCGCGCTCGTTCTGTGGCAACTCATGGGAGCCTCCCATACCATCTTGCTGGATTCTGCGAATTGACGCTAGCCGACGCTAATCGACGCCAAATCGACACGAATCGACGCTAATCCACGCTAAATCGGCGCTCCATCATCGACTACCAAACGCTGATCGACGCTAGCGCAATCTTAAAACGGAATTAGTAAGCTACACAAGGCTCCCATGATTTGCTACCGAACGCTCGAGGCGACAACAAGTCCCTCGTCTTGAGGCCTCACGCTTGGTACTCAAGCCGCCTGCATCTTGCTGCTCGCGCTGACACAAATCTGGCCACCTCCCGGTGCTCTGCTCGCTCCGAGCACGCCTCCCAGATGGGGTCCGCGTACATGGATGCAGACGGAGTCGGAGGATCGCGCCGCATCGCCGCTGCATCGCCAGGCGACATCGGCGAAGCGTCGGCGCCGTCGGCGCTGAGGAAGTCGGGCTCCACACCGAGCCGCATCGGCGATGCATCGGCGATGCGGCCCGATCCTCCTACCCATCAACTCGGACCCCATCCGGGAGGCCTGGAGAGACGAGGCCGCCTGACCCGTGCATCTCATGGCCGGTTGCCTGCCGCATCCGATGCAGCAAGGGCGCGCCGAGCATGCTCCGCCCAGACCCTTGGCGTCATGATTTGCTCATAGCGTGAACCCCCAAAGTCTGCACCCATGCATGCTCCGGGACCGGCTCCTCATCAGAGTCGGCCCCTGGCGGCCCCGAGGCCCGGCAGAGCTCCCCCCCGAAGCCGAGACTGGCCCGAGAAGCAGCCGTCATGCTTTTCTCGCAGCGTGAGGGGGTCTGGGATGTCTGCCCGTGGTCCCAGCCCCCTGCCCGAGGAGGGACGGGGCCACCCGTCCTCCTCCTCCTCCTCCTCCTCCTCCTCCTCCTCCTCCTCTCCTCCTCCTCCTCCTCCTCCTCCTCCTCCTCCTCCTCCTCCTCCTCGACCCCTCCTCCTCCTCCTCCTCCTCCTCCTCCTCCTCCTCCTCCTCCTCCTCCTCCTCCTCCTCCTTCTCCTCGTCGGTCTTCTCCTCCTCTCTCCTCTCTCCTCCCTCCTCTCTACAAATACACACTATGAGTACTAGTTGATCTCCTCTCTCCCCCGATGACAACACATTCGGCCCCCTCCGCGTGCTGTCTTCCCACACACAGGCTTCCCGGGAACTGGGTTTTTGCTTGTTTGTTTCAAAATGTTGCTCCCGCTGAAGCGCTGGCCTCATTTTCGGCCTTCCGCTCGTTCCGAGTCGTGCTCCCGCTGCAGCGCTGGCCTCATTTCCGCGCTTCCGCTCGTTCCGAATCGTGCTCCCGCGGCAGCGCTGGCCCTGCCTCATTTCCTGATTTCATATGTGTTTTGGCAATCCGATTCTGTTCGGTCCTTCAAAATGTTGCTCCCGCTGCAGCGCTGGCCCATTTTTGCACCTCTGGTTGTTCCAAACCGTGCTCCCGCTGCAGCGCGGGCGCTTTTGGTCCTTCGAAATAAGCCCCAAATCTGGAAAATGACCATCAGACAAAAACATCGTAAGTGATCACGCATCCGGTGTCGATTCGTTGAGTTTTTGGGTCGCAGACGGCCCCTCTCGGGGCGGCGGCGCTTGGAGGAAGTATCAAGCGGGAGCCCCGTTTCTGCTTTCAGAAGGCGATGTTACAAGCAGAGCCAGCGGGTACTGTCCATCAGCCCCGCCGTGTGGGAAGCTCGTCGCGGAGCCCAGGGATCTAAACATGAAGCTGCGACTCTGGACCGGTCCCGACCCTTCGAAGACTATCCACTTACCATCCAAGGAACCTGGTGCCCTGCCATGACATGCTGTGCGGGGTTCTGTTCTGCGCCGCTGTGCGATGCCATGCTTTGCGTTGCAATGCTTTGTGATGCAATGTTTCACTACGCGATGCCACGCCATGCTATGACATTATACGCTCTGCCGTACTCTTCTACGCCATGGCATGACGTGCTCTACGATGCGTCGCGCACCCTCTCTCGATCATTGCCCTGCTCGGTATCCGATTGCGCGCATAGAGAGAAGATTTACGCAATGCGAAGGGATGGGAGTGAAGGGTAGGACGTCAGATATGACGCGAGCGCACCTAGCTTGCCTCTCTCTCCTATCCTCTCTCCTCTCTCCTCTCCTCCTCTCCTCTCCTCTCCTCTCCTCTCCTCTCCTCTCCTCTCCTCTCCTCTCTCTTCTCTCTCTTCTCTCTCTCTCTTCTC